TCCTCTTTCTCTGCATCCCCTCCAGCATTTGTCATTGGCTGACAAGAAACCCACCCCGTCCGTGGGGGGGACTGTGGAGGGGGAGGTGTGCTGGCTGAGAGGAAGATGCTGGAGCTGGAGTTGTGGCATACTCTTCTTCTCTAATGCACTAATAACATCCTGATACATTTAATAACACATGCACAGAACTCACAGGGTACAGCAAGTGGACACCAAGGGGGCCTCTGTCCCCAGCCCCAACTATCCACTCCCTTGGGTCTCCTCTTGGCAGTGTTTGAAAACACCTTCAAGATAGCCTTCTGAATACATGCATACATTGTAACATGTGTTAAAGATGAACATTGCCTACACAGCTCCATGTGTTCCTTATCCTGCACTTGTGTAACCTAGAGACTGTAAGCATATCTGGCTCTGTGTGTGTGTTGTATGTGTGTGTGTGTGTGTGTGTGTGTGTGTGTGTGTGTGTGTGTGTGTGTGTGTGTGTGTATGTATGTATGTCAGTCCTGCTGCCTGACCTTAGGGCCAGGGCACTGTCACTGAGCTTTTTTGCTCAAGGCTAGTACTCTACCGCTTGAGTCACAGCGCCACTTCCAGCTTTCTGGTGATTAATTGGCGATGACTCTCACAGACTTTCCTGCCCAGGCTGGCTTTGAACTTCTGTCCTTAGATTTCAGCTTTCCAAGTAACTTAGAATCACAGGTGTGAACTACTGGCACCTGGTTAACATTGTCTGTACTACCTGGTGGCCAAACAACCTTGTCCAATTTGGGTAAAGACAGCTGCCTGGATTGGCATTTGGCAGGGACTGTGAGGGGAATTTACTGTTCCCGACCCTATGTAGCTGCTGAAGAGTGCAGCAGTGCTGGACAGCTGTGGAGGTTCTAGAGTTCTACCTTAGAAATCAGTTTGTGACCAGTTTTCATATCAGACAAATTCCCTATCAAATATTGAACACAAACAATATTTCTACAGAAGATCATACTAGTTTTCAACCTGATTATCATTGTGAAGAACTTGGGCCACAGTTTCCAGGATGTGCATGGCAGGGAGCATCTCCTGTCTCCTGGAGGAGAGCTTCCTAAAGTTGCAAAGGTTCTGCTGATTATCAATCTGTGGTGTTTTAGCCATATGTTTTTGCCTCCCTTGGGTTAAGAATTGCTGGATTCTGGAGTAGAAGGCTGTTTAACTCTGTGTGAATGGCTAGGCCTGCGGGTGTGCCAGTCTGTGCTCTGCAAATCCCTCTTCAGGTTTTGGTCATTCTCCATCCTTGCCTATCTGTGACTCAGGCACCCCTTTCCACGTGCCCTATTCTAGTGGGTGTGCACAGTCAGCTGTGGATTTACTTTGAAACTTCTCTAGTGGGCTAGTGATAGCCAACAATGCCCATTGACCATCTATATAGCTGCTTTTATTTTTTGGAGGTACTGGGGTTTTAACTCAGGCCTTCAAGTGCTACAAACTGGTTATTTTGAGACCGGGTTCACTTCTTGGCCAGGTCTCCAATGCTCCTGCTTCCTCCAAGTAGCTGGTAAGCACCAGGACACCCAGTGGTTTGTTGATATGTGGTCTTGCGAGCTTTTTACCTAGGTAGGTCTTGAACTGTGATCCTTCTCCACTTTTTGAGTAGCTAGGATTTGTCTTTGGTGAATTATGGGGCCTTTGCTTACCTTGTTCATACAATATTATACGTTTTGTTTTTCCTTAAACTTTCCCCATGATATCAGTTGTGACTATGTACCATCCCTGAAAACGCTATTACCTTTTAAAATGCTACACTTACTGTGTTCTTAAAAGATGGTGTTTCCTGTGCTGCTCTGGCTGGTCTTGAATGAATGAGGTGAAATGGTCCTCCCACCCCACCTCTCTAGGAGCAGGAGTGCAGGTTAAAAGTCACACCTTTGAGTGCAGTTTCACCGCCCAGGTGCCACTCACAGGTTATGTGAGTGTGGAGATTACCTTGTTTGGCTGTTGGCTGTGTGCAGCTTCTGTGGTGGAGCACACCATTGCGTGTGTGCATCTGCCCCGTGCTGTCACTGAATTAACTTATTATCTATTTGATCTTCCCAACTACTCAATGAGAAAGGCCTTGCTAGCCTTGAATCGGATATGGGCATAGATGCTGAGGGGTGGGGTTACTTGCCTCTGGTGACATAACGTGTTTGCTAGCACTATTTACTCATGTAAAACTTTAAGACAGGTCTCGCTGTGTGGCCCTGGGTAGCCTCACACTCCTGACCCTCCAGCTTTCAGCCTCCTGAGTCTAGGTGCTGGAATCACACGCATGCACTACCACTACTACCCCCACCCCCCAAGTCCTGGGGCTTCAACTGTGGGCCTGGCCACTGTCCCTGAGTTTCTTTTGCTCAAGACTGGTGCTCTACCTCTTGAGCCACAGCACCACATCTGGCTTTTTTTTTGAACAGTTTATTGTAAATAAGAGTCTCATAGACTTTCGTGCCCAGACTGGCTTTGAGCTGAGATCTGTAAATCTCAGCCTCAAGTAGCTAGGATTATAGATGTGAATCACTGGCTCCCAGCTACAAGTGTGCACTTTTAGTTTGATTTTTGGATAGTTTTTCCTATGAGTCTGCTCTCTGAAGAAACTAGCTATATGCTCCTATGCAAATGTTCAGAAGGCTTTTCAGGGGATTTGCAGGCAAGGGCTGGTATATATACAGTATTTATGTAATAAAATGAGTTTAATTACAGCATTATGTAATGCACTGTCATATGACTAACTCAGTCATACAAATACAAAGCTCAGTACACAATAATCATAAGACAGCAATATAGTACCATGAACATACACTGTATATACAATATACAGTACACATATACTCTGTATTTCTATAGGAATGGAAATAAAGTGCTGGAAAGAAGAAAAATTTACAAAGTTTTACAAAAAATATTAACTAAAATCTTATTGAGATGAAGCTTCACTGAATCTGTGAATGTTTTGTGCTAGTCTTGGAGCTTTTGAACTCAGGGTCTATGGACTGTCCCTGAGCTTTTGTGCTCAAGGCTGGCTAGCATTTACCAGTTTAGTCACAGCTCCACTTCCAGCTTTTCTTGGTAGTTCATAGGAGAGAAGTCTCATGGACTTTCTTGCCTGGTCTGGCTTAGAACCACGATGCTCACTTACATCTCAGCCTCCTGAGACACTAGGATTATAGACATGAGTTACTGGTACTTAACCATGTGGTTTTTGCCTTGCCTTTCCCCTTGAAAACCAGGATGGTGTGGGAACATGTTCTGCAAAAGGGGAAAATGTCACAATGAGGATGGCATACTGTGATCCAGTAGCTCTACCCTGGTGGTTTGGCTTTTGGAAACTGCACAGAAACACTGTTTTAGCTTTGTCTGCCTGGCTTTTAGCCTTGTGTTTATATGTTTTAGAGTAAGGGAGTAAGTGCATTTGTGAGATGTTTAAATGTGAGGGTGTGTCAAATGTGGGACATTTTTCTGTATAACTGAAAACTTTTTCCAGGGCAGAATCCCATTCAGCAATTTTGGCTGTAGTGTGGGGGCAATCAGTCTACCGTTGGTGTCTTGGGCAGACTCTCTTTGCTAAATCTGAAGCCAGGCTTGCCACCTCCTCCAGGTCTTTTTTGGTGGTTTCCATTGCTTTGTTTTTTTTGGTCTGGTCGTTGGGCCTGAACTCTGGGCCTGGGCGTTGTCCCTCAGCTCTTCAGCTCAAGGCTAGCGCTCTACCACTTGAGCTACAGCGCCACTTCCGGCTTTTTTTCTTTTTGCTTATGTGGTGCTGAGGAGTGGAACCCAGGGCCTCATGCATGCAAGGCAAGCGCTCTACCACTGAGCCACCTTCCCAGCCTGGTTTCCATTGCTTCCTTGGCCAAAATTTCCACATCTTCTTCCTTCGTAGCATCAAAACCCCCTTCATTTATTTGCTGTGGAATATGCATTATGTCTTTCCATAATACCTTCAAGGCCTTTGGAATTCTTCATCATAGTCTGACCAAGTGTTTTTCCAAGCTTGTTTGATGTTGTCCCAACACTATCAATAACATCGCATACTGTGACAGATCTTAGTTTCTTGTGGTGGTTTCCTATCATCGCTTGAGTCTCACAGGCATTATTGTACAGCTCCCTCATGCAGTGTACCTGGAAAGATTTTGTTATGCAAGGCATATGTCAGGACAGAGGGGCTAGATAAAAATCGAAGTATTTACGGGCACGAAGAGGGGACTGTATTTCTGGGTTCTTCATAACAAGGAATTGGGGGCATTATTTCTCCTAAGAACTTTTCAACAATTGGAGGAAAGGGTATAATTCCATCGTGAACAACCTGGTTTAGACTTGTAATTTTCAAAGACGCAAATATTGTGTAGTGAAACCACAGTATTCCTGAGATCGGCCTCACGGAACGCCGTGATTTCCCCCTACAGGACAGGACAAAACCACCTGGAATATTCTCAGTGCTCCAATTCTGGATGATGCGTTAGTGTAAATGCCAAACTTATCTCTTCTCACGAGGTAGTGAACACACTTTCTTCTTCACCAGCCGCACAGTCCTTGGATTTAAAAGCAAAACAGCTTTCCGGGAAGTGGCGCTGTGGCTCAAGTGGTAGAGCGCCAACCTTGAGCCCTGAGCTCAGGGACGCTGCCCAGGCCGCAAAACGGCAGCTTCCGGGTTCTCCGGCCTCAGCCCCGGCGGAGGCCCGTCCCCGGCAGCGGGCTCAGGGGTCCACCCCGGCGGGCTCGCCGTCCGCTGACCGAGGCCCTGGTCCGCGTTCGGGAAGGCCGACTACGGCCGCCGGTCGCTTCCAGTCGCGCACTGGAGTGGAAGTGGCATCCCGGCGAGTCCGCGAGGCGCCCGGTGGGTCCGTGCGTCCCCGGCCTCTCCCGAGGGTCCGGAGCCGCCGTGGGGCGGCCGCGGCAGGTGGCTCCCGCGGGCAGGACTCGGAGCCGGCCGGAAGAGGCCGCGGGCGCGGGGTGACGACGTCACTTCCGGCGCCGCGCCCACTTCCGGGTGCGGGCAAGGCCGTGAGCCGTAGCATCTCTGAGGAAGGGAAGCGGGTGAGCGGGCCGGGCGCCGGGCGGCGGAGGCGGGCCCGGGCCGGCTGCCGCGCTCACGCCGCTCTCACGCCGCGCTCTGTGTTGCAGGTGTACCCGGAGCCGCGGACCGAGAGCGAGTGCCTGAGCAACATCCGCGAGTTCCTGCGCGCCTGCGGGGCCTCCCTGCGGCTGGAGGTGGGTGAGCGCCGCGGCCGGGGGCCGGGGACCGGGGTCGGAGCTGGAGGGTGCTGGGGGTGTGGGGTCAAGGGGGCGGGCAGAAGAGGCGGGGTCAGGGGTCGGGTCAGGGGAATGTGGGGCGGGG